AATACATAATTATCAAATTTAGTAATTTTCAACGATACGTTTGATAAATTGACCAATGGGTATATGAAAAATAAATAATCGTAAAAATACATTTTTAATACAATATAAAAAAATATTCAACTAAATTTGAAAGGAAAATAATAATAATTTGCAATCGAAATTTTAATCAAATGAAATAAACAATATGTATTCGCAATTAAAAAATAAATAAAATATTTTTTAGTTGAGTATCGAACCATGGCTGCCATAAATAGATTACATAAAAATTCGAAGGCAATGGGAATGTTTAATTTTATAGATATTTGTTAATAAATTGTAAATCATTTTTACTTTGCTCTTGTCGCGTATTGTTTCTACATACATTATATTCGCACGCGCATTTCATCTATTTTAGCATTATGTATGAATATATTTTCAACATTATCGATAATGATAAATGACGTGTGAATATGTACGTAACATAGTACAACATTATTCGATTATGATTCGATTTATAGGTACCTGTCGGCATCGGTTGCATCCATCCGTCGTCACCACTATCGCCGTGGTGTTTCACCCGGCCCAGTACTTGTATCGCGGATACGTCATCATAGGAATCGTTTGGTTCTGATTCATCCGCGTACAGTCTCCGGTAATATTCCAAATACTTGCAGTGGAATTCATCGTTGCTGATGTCCACCTGCATTAATGTCAGAGAAAAAAAAAAACAAACTAGAATTATTATAATTATTATTCTCTTTCTATATTACACTCGCCGGGCCGGCTTTTTTCTCGCATTATTTGTGTTACCACAGAATCTCTCACGGGTGACTGCTTTCTCTCTCTCTCTCTCTCTCTCTCTCTCTCTCTCTCTCTATCGTTAATCGTCGATATATTTTATTATACGTTCAACCACGCACAGCAGTATAATCTTATAATGGACGTTTGTCGGTTTTCGGTGATTTTTATCGGAAGTTGCCAACACCGGACCGGCTTTGACGGCAAGCCGCTGCATACATTACACATTTTACATTAATAAAGTATATTATATTATTGTTGTCGCGCGCGTTAGCATTCGACTGCACATTTGATTTCATCTCATTAATATTATGGTCATTGTTAAACTGTAATGAATTTAGTCGACTGCGCAGACAAGCGTATAACATAATAACCAATATCCGTCATGTTTGCAATAAGATAAATATATATACTATATGGTATCATATATTAAATAATTACTTTTTCAATATAAAGTCATTTATTTAAGTTTGAAATGTAACTAACTCAGTTATTAAAATTAAGTAACTAGTCCAACTTTGAATTTTGATTTAGTTTGTATTTTTTTTTTAATTAAAAATTTGTAATTGCCATATTTTATTTGAGTCCGTATTTTATCGTACATGGAATATTTAAAATATGCAAAAATTGTTATCCATTGTATGCATGTCTATTAAGGGTAAATTAATTATATATTTAGGTATTTAGGTTTTAGAACAATTTTTAGATTCTATGTCCATTATGAAGATATTAGAACGATTATATTAAATATAATAATAGATTTTATCAGAGAATTTAAAAGTGTCCGCCAGTTTCGCGGTTGGTATTTTTCCATTCATCCATAACACATTTACGAAACATTCGTATCGATTTATACCATTACAATACGTAAACCAATTGATCTCCCAATACATAAATAACATTAGGCTTAAATCGTATTTAGAATAGTCTACCGAATTAAAAGTTCATTAATTTATTTATTTATTGAGAGTTTGGATCGTATGAGTGTCTACTTTAAGTTTATAATTAATTTGAAATAATTATGGATCCATTGGTTATATAGGTATCAAAGTCTTATTTTACAACGATAAATTACAATGAAAATGCGAAATTCATCTGTTCTGACGACATTAGGCATACCACATGACGCGTCGCACTAATTATAGTTTTTACAAAACATAATAAAACTATACTTCGTTAATTATGTTATTTGTAAACGCATTTTTTTTTTAATTTCATAATATTGTTTTATGCTTTCAGCTTTATCTGTTTTACGATTGTCCTTCCAATCATATAAATAACATCCATAGCAATAAATAGTTTTGTGTAGTACTATTAATAAATCGATATAATTTATTTACACACGCTTGAAGTGACATCTTTTCATCTACATGATACTAATATATTGTACTCTTTCAGCTTTTCGTATCTGTTGGTGAAAAAAAAATATTGAATTATTTGATACAAACAGATTTATTTTATAAAAATACGTTAAGTGCTATTCAAAAAAAAAAAAAAAAATGAATAAAAATAATAATAATAATAATTATTATTATAATATGATATTTATTAAAAAAATGAAAAAAACATTAAAATTTAGAACTATAAAATTGTTATTATATCATATCGAAAATTAAATAACCAAGAAATATTTTCAAATTAATTTCTTCCTTTCAATGGTCTTAATTAAAATTTTCTAAAAACGAGTAAACATTTTTATAGCATACATTTTTTATTTCTAAAATCAATAAAAATACTAAAATGTAATATAAATATCGTAGTCGTTTTATAGTCGTTTTATGTAATTAAATTATTATCCTCTAAATTGTTTATTTTAATTACAATTTAAATAAAACTCGTATACCTAATATATAATTATTCTGTTTATTTCAATAGATGTTTAAAGAAAGTTAATCGAATTAGAATTACTTTTCGAACGTTTATACTATTTTCATTAAAACAATACACAACTTAATAATACATTTAATTTTTAATTTTTAAATAGCAAAATTAAATATAATACACAGTTATTTAAATATCACACTGTAGTGTACGTTTATTTATTGGATATAATTCTAAAAATTGTGAATACAAATAAATAAGAAATTGATTTTTTTATATGAAGATATATTTTATTGTCTAATTAATTTCTAAATTATGTATTTTTAATATACTATTGATCAGTATCAAGAACCTTAAAACGCTTAAAAACTTTGATTGCATTTTTATATTCTCAAATTCTTTCTTAATGGATGCACAATAAAGATACAATATGAGTAGTATTTACTATTATATATATATATATATTATACTACAACTCGAAATTCCAGCTAATGTATCTGTTATTAATGTTAATTGTCAAGTAGCGGGTAAATTTTTTTATGTAGAACATTTAAAACCATATTATTATTTTAGTTTACGTAACCTACATTTTTGGATTCGGTCGAGTATAATATAGAGTGGAAACTATGTTTTATTGATGTTATGATTGTTTTTTCCTATTAATACTTTCATAAATCATGATCCCATACTTCATTCCTATCTACAAATCTTCAAATATATATATATACATACATATAAGAGTATTGAAAACCGGTAAACTTCGTGTATATTACTTTAACATTTTTTTCTACATTTGATTAAGAATTGAAAAATCGGACTCACTTATTTCCATAAAAAAAAATTAAAAAATATAAAAAAAAGGTAAAACTAATGTTGTAACAATTAATAATACCCACTCATTAAAAATAGAAAGTATTTAATATTATTTTAGTGAGTCGTTTAGAATTTTGGATTCTGAAGACCTATCAAACTATCATTTTGTTTTTTTAAGTATAAAAATATAGTATTGTACAAAGTGTTGATTTTTCAAATAATTTTTAAAAGTAAATCTTTATGATAGAATAATTTTTTAATTGCTGTTGTATGAACGGAATTAAGTTTCGTCTTTTTATGAAAATCTAATGGGAATTACTACATAATTTGTTAAACTCAAATAATATTTGATCACACTGGTATCTCATGAATATCATGGTTTATAAATAATTTAACTTTACAATCCTAAATCAAATATAGTTAAAAAAAAAAGGAATTAAAATAATATATTGTATTTTTATCAATTTTATTTAGTGTGCTGATGGTATATACATTTGTACCTCGTGTTTTTAAAATATCAATTACAACGTATAACCATTAATAATATTAAAATTCTTAAAAAAATGCACAACGTAATATATAAATGTATGAAATAACATTATTTATAGTTATTTAAATCCTTAAAATATACTATCTTTTTTTTAAAAATTTTTATTTACATAATAAAATAATTTTATTATGTGAATAATATAATATAATATAGTATAAGAATACAATTATTGTATTTTTATTCAAAACATATTCACTAATGAGTGGTGAGTATACTGATCAAAATAGTTTTTAAAAAATCAATCCAATTGAATTTATTATTAGTTGTAAATGTACAATAGTTGTAACTACGTTTAACGCAATAGTCCATCGTAAGTTATTAAATGTGTTAATTGTTTTTAGTACACACAGTACACGCAATTCATTTTTTGTATTTTTTGCTTTTCTATAAATTATGATAATAATGATAGATATGATAACGATATAATATTTATGATTTTGAAAATCTGAAGTTCGTGATAAATTTTAATACGGAAATTAAATATTGAACGAAACACATACAAAGATCTACTGTCTAGTCCTATAATTACGTACGACGAAGATTGCTTTTTTATTGTTTTCGTAAATAAACGCACATGACTTGTAGTGGCAAAAAAAATATCCGTCAAGTACACGTGCACGTGAATATATTATACTCACGTGTTTTAAATCAAATTTGTACGGGTTGTATGCTATTGCCGATAAACCTCGACGGGCATTAGAAAAATATCAAAACTCCAACGATCCCACACGAGGTAAATATAGGTATTTAATTTTCGGAATCGATGGTATAGATATTAATACAAACTTTTTCTGATGTAAAACTCTATAATTTTATTAATTTAAATTCATGGTATGTACTTTTTATTTTTATTTTTGTCAGTGTTATATTTATTTCACGATAAATGATGTCACTTTGATGTTTTGTTAGCAAATTTGTTTTGATATTTTATACATATTAACTTATTTCATAATGAGCGGATATAATATTTTATGTAACTAAATAATTTAAATACTATATTAATCATAGTATCTAATAATTTGTACTCTTTACTTAATTGTATAGTAATTTTAAGTTATCTTTGTATGCCTAATGCACATTTAACACGGTTGTTGGATTTTGTCAATAATCATGTAAACCCATTAGACACGGAAAAATGCGAAACAACAAATAGAGTTAGGTCGGTTTATATTTTGTAAGATAAAATTTTATTAAAATTTCAAACGTATTTTTTTCATCAATGAGACCTACACAACTGTAAAAATGATCTATTAATGTGGTGTACGAGGGGGGGGGGCAAACGAAAATACGCAAATCCACATAAAGCTGCCAAAAAGTACTATAAATAACGACTGTTACCGTTTTAATATAAATTTGCTATTACTCAAAAACAGGCAGAGCTCGGGGGCTATATATATATATATTAGTTAATAATATATGTCACGTTATGATGTTGTAGGGCGGAAAAAACGCGTGTGAAACACGATGAACACACATACCTTATCCATGTCGGGCACCTTTTGCAATTTCAACCCTTTGATCATGTTGTGGCCGAATCTCGCGGTCGAATCGTCGTGCTTCCCGAATCCCGAGTACTGGACCGCCCGCATGGAGTTGGCCAGCTGCAGCATTATCAACAGCGCACCGATTGGCCAACGGTACGGCGATACGCCCGCCGCGGCGCTCGGCTCGGTCATGGTGCGTGAACACCGACGATGGTTCGGGATGTACCACGTTCGTTGACGGCGCGCGATTTTATGGTCCACGTCAACAAGTAGGGCGACAAGAAGATCGCGTAAAACACAAGAGTTGTACGCGCGTACCGTACGGGCGTCGTCGTGCGACTGACTGACCGCAGCGACGGCGCTCGGCCGACTACTTACGGTGACGCGGTGGATACGGCGATGGCGGCGGCGGTGGTGGCGGCGGTGGTGGCGGCGGCGGCGAAGACGACGACGACGACGACAGACCGTAGAGTAGCCGGAATCGGCGCGACGGCCGTGCCGTATCGCATTGCCGTTGCGGGCTGGGAGGAAAAAAACCGCGGTCGGCCGAGAACGGAAATGGACGTGGAAGAACCGACCGAAATACAAATAATACCTAATAAGAAAAAAACAACGAGATCGGGTACGTTGTCGTGTCGCGATGCCTTGATTACACGGTCGGTTCCGCGAACGGTTATGACAGCGATGTACTACTGTAACCGGCTGTATTACTATCTGTTGACGGAACCGGCGGACCTATCTATCGTTGGACTACTGAACGCGTGCGGCGGACGGCCCGCACGTTTTATACGACGAACTCGGGGTGCGCGCGCGCGTCAAAACCTTGCGACGGCCGGTGCTCCTCGCAGCCAGTCGGTGTGCACGGCGAGAGTTGTAGGTAGGCAGCGGCGGCGACGGCTGCGAAGCGGTGCGCGCGTAAAATAATATTATTAGACACGAGCGCGCCGCACTCACGCACACGCGCCCGCACGCCGGACGGTGACGTGTACGCTATGTACGCGATGTACCACCACCCCTTCTGGTGTATGATCACGCATCTTCTCCGTGTAACGCGTGTGCGACACACGTGTGCCTCGGGTTGCGAACGGCCTCGGGCGAACCGCCCTTCCGCGTCGCAACCGGTAAGGCGAACGGCATCGAAAAGTCCGGCCGGCATTCACCGTACGCAGACGGGTTGTCGCGTTCATAACACACCCTCGGAGTGTGTAACAATCGCGTCCTCAAAGAGCTCTCCACGACGGAATGTTGTCCGACTCGACGATTTTTCGCCGTCGACGGATCGTACTTGCATTGCATTTTATGCGCAGGCGTGCCCGCACCTTTTTAGCAAGTCGTGCACAAGACAAATATACATATTTGACAGCACGAATCGTTTCGTTGGAATCATAACTTTGAACAAGCGTTAATTGATAATACAATTAAAGTTAAATTATGGAGGTCGTGTCTCTCATGCACAGGTGCCACCTGTAACTACGCCTATGGTTTTATGGTCCAAGAAATAATAATTACGAATTCATATCATCTATTATATAATAGATTAAAAGCATTTCGTTCAACAACGTTTAAATCGTTTCTAGGTAATTAATTATAAATGCAACAAGTTTAGCAATCAGAGTTCCAGGACTAAAACCGATTGAGTGAAAATGTGACGGTGTTTCTAGACTTGTATGATATTTTATACAGTGAATTGTTCCGATGCGTGTACGTACACCAGATAAAACCAACATCATGGCGGCGGTAAAAAACATTAAGGCTTACGTCACCGAACAGAGATACAACCTCGTTGATGGATGCACATTTAATTCATGTATTTATACCATATTTAATATGCTTAAAATATTAAATATTTCAACCTACACATTTTAAATAAAAAGTTTGTTTCTGAAACATACTCTGTTATTGAAAATGAATCCATTATACCTTCTGCAAATATATTTATATCATTGAAATTATGCAATATTTTTTTATACCTGCGATATTTCCTTATGATGGTGATTGTTTTTGTGACTCTTGCGACGAATGCGATTTTATAATACAATTTCAAATTGCATAGCATACACTTTAATTTAGTTTGTATTACACAACAGTAGCGGATTGGTCAGAAAAGCAAAGGGACAATCGCCTCCCGGGCCCTTGATAGTGGGTATCATGTAAAATCATATCAATAAAAATTGTATATAGTTTACTCGTATACGAAATGTAATATATATTTTCTGTTTTCAATTGTACAAAATTACAAAAAAAAAGTTTATTGAGCACCATTAATTACAAATATTTGTTAGTCGAAATGTGATAATAATAAGTCCAGTTTTAATGAACCCTCTGGGCCCCTCTACCCAGTCCGCTCCCGCTACATAATTTCAGACCCTGACAATGGAGATATATTTTACGAGATAATGAAATATATTGGCGGCGTCGTTACCGCATACTGGTAAGTGGTTTAGTAGATCGTGTAGAGACGATATACGGGAGTAGTTGGTGCGTGACCCGTGTGTGTAATGGACCTGTTGCGCATCCATATTACAATAGGTAAGTAAATGTCTAACGACGGTGGCGGTGACGGAAAAACGGATGTATCATACTATATTTATATAACTCATTGTATTTCCTCGAAAACCTGATTGACTCATTCCATACGTATACGCGATCCCATGTGTATGCTCTTATTTGTACGTAGTACGGGCGCCTACGGTTCCGCAAAGTTTCTCTTGTTCAGCGCCAGTCGATTACGATGACGAAATACAATAATAATATGTGTAATGCATACTGTAATGTATTAGTGTGCAGCCGTATCGCGCGATTGTTTTTTCTTTCCTTGCAAGGGTAACCCTTGTTCGACAGGTTTGCTGCAGTTTTGATTATATATCCAATATCGGTTTTTAGCGCCATGAGCAATTGGAAAAACCGTAGTCTTCTTTCTCTCACATACATTCTTCCTGCAGTGGCGTCATTCGATGAAAGGAGCAACTCGTGCATTTGCCAAACTAGAATGAAACTGATTTAGTCGGCATATCATCAAAATATAAATACGTATTTTTTAAAGTCAATAACAATGTTGTTAACCAGAAAAATTAAACGTGTACTATATGAGTATTTAAGTACAAAATACAAATCATTATATTTTTGGACTGGTTTGACTCCCCTTCCCCCCACGTTAATCGGCACTTTAGTAAAATGAGCCACTGAATTGGCAATTTAATAAAAGCATACAGACTGCCCTTTACTAAAAAAAACCGAAATTTCGCCACAGTCATGTACATCAGTGGTCTTCAATCGGTGGGTCGCAACCCAATTTTGGGTCACTTAAACTTAAGATTGGTTCACGATAAGTCTTCCGTTTAAAATTTTAAAAATGCTATACATTATTATTGTATGATATTATATTATATATGTCATATGACATCAGATAAAATAATTTTTAATTGTTACGGACACACTTAGGTGTCCGAATGTAAATAAATTAAATTAGTACACAAGTTGTTAAATGGTCAGTTTGAAATGTATTTGATGGACAATTAAACAATAGAACGACTTTATTACTAAAAAAAAATATAATTATATAAACTTTGCGTAATGTTCTGTAATATTCTGAACGATGAGAATGCTTTGATCTATCCCCGGACAAACTCATTGGCGTTCATGCTCAACAAGCAGTCCTGCCGTCCGGTTAAGTTGCTTGTTCAGCATATTCCTTTAAATATTCAGGATCAAATATCGCACTATCTTTTTTTCTGTATCATAAACAAGAATTTTGTTTGAATTATTACTTATAATAAAAGTTATATATTATCTAGATACCTAGAAAAATACAAATATGTATTTATTCAGTTATAAAAGCACTTCTAAAATGGCACATATTAAGCAATTTTACTTTTTTTTTTTATTTTTCATGACTAACTAAACTGACATGGAACGCAAAAAATGTATGGTAAAAAAAGCGGGTCACGAGTCAAAAAGGTTGAAGATCAGTACCGCGATCAAAACCGCGTGTACAGAGGGTGCAATCCACATGGGCCCCGGGCCTCGAACTATAGTATAAGTATACTATATATATATATATATATAAGTATACTTATTATCGGGCCTAAAAAAGTCAAATGCTCAAAAACGTTTGATGAGTAGGGGCTTCAAGATTTTGATTCGCACACATGCCTAAAGTAGTTTAGTTACGGTATTGTTGAAGACCACTGCTGGTACACACATAATAAATATACTTTATATTAATAATTAATATTTATTTAACATACAATTTATTTTATCAATCAATTTGTGTTTTAGAAACAAATTTTTTTCGTATAATTTGAAACCATTTAACATTTTAAAAAAACACTATAATGTTTGTGTATACAAAACCTAAGTTTTTCTTTATCAAACAAAATTATAAGCCCATGGAGTAAGATAAATTTATTATAAAATCGAATTAAACTAAAAAAAGTTTTTGTAAAAAATTAAATAATTATGTTGGTTCTGTTAATTTTAACTCTTTGCCAAATTATATAAAAAAAAAAAAATATTAATAATGTTACTAACATTAAGAAATATATATAAATTATATTTTGTTTAGGAACGTCTCAAATTAGAAGCGTTACTAACCTTGAAGTAAATGCAACATTAATGGTTCGTTAATTCATCGAAATATCACAATGGTAGTGCGGAAAAAATGTCTTACATTTTGGAACAACATAAACATAAATTTCCTGAATTTTACTTAATGAAATTAAAGTATTTATGAATACCTGCAACTTAAGTTCCATCAGAGCGAGTATTTTTAAAAGCTGAATTGTAACTAATGGTGTAAAAATAGGTTATCTCTAAAACATCTTACTTACATTATATTTTTAAATTGTCATTTAAATATGATATATTTTACTTAGATTAGTTAATAATTATAAATACCTTTATTTCTAACGTAAAGAATTTTTAAATGTTTTATTTTAAAAAGTAATTTATTTTGTTTTTGTATAATTATAGGCATAGGTGGATATTTGGTTGAATTTTTGGGGGGGGGCTATAATAATTCAATGTAAAATAATCCGCAGAGGCTTCGCCTCCACACCCCCTTTCTATGCACAAGTAAGACTTATTACCATTAAAAATATAAATATGTTTAAATTGAATTTAAAAAAAAACACTAAATAACGTATATCTAAAAATAATTAATATTTTATTTTAATGATAAATTAACATCATATAATATAATAAATATCAGCAAAGATATTCAATATATCATTGCTTTTTATATTTTTCGATAAATCTTTTTCAATATATAGTATTGAAAGATCGCTGAACCTATCTTGAACAAACGATGTCCTTAGCCAAGTTTTTATTTTTTTCATTGCACTGAAACTTCTTTTACAAGTAGCCGAACTAATTGGTATTGTTAATGCTATTGTAAATAGTTTTTTATTATTACTATTTTACGATTTTCAAAAAAAACGAACAGATAATTATTAAAACAACGAATAACATTTCTAACAAAGTTTCGATTTTGGGAGGGCTATTAAAATATTTG